GAGTCTATATATTTGGGATAATTTTAGGAAAAGTGGGGTATTTGTCTCACAATTATCCCAACAAACCAATAACACTATAAATTTAAATTCATACTCAATTACCCCAATGAATAACATCAAAAAGTGTTGTTCTAAGAATAACATCAAAAAGTGTTGTTCTAAAAATTATCCCAATATCCCTAAATTTACACCAATGAATAACCCCCCTAACTTGATAATGTTACAAAATTACGAACTTTATAGTTTACCAATGGTTTCTCTTTTTCGTGCAATTGTTCAGCATGCGTTGTTAACTGATTAAGACAGAATTCAGACATCAATGAATATGTAGTTCATATAAGTTTTAAGTCTTCATATCTGGACCTTTGGGTCATGCAGAAAGGCCTCCTGCCCTGAATTAGCTTGGAAAGAGAGACAACAAGGTTTGAATGTAGAACCCCTTGCTATGAAATCATGTAAAAGGACAATTCATCTAAAACTTTAATAAGATAGGTTGTAGACTAACAACATGTATCAGACAACCTAATTCTTAATATTAGGTCGTAAGTGAGGATCCTTTTGACATTTTTTTCTTGTAGATTAATAGCAATGATGAAGCATTTATCCAAAAATTTTGAGTCGACTATACATGATATTAATGCTTTGATATCATGTCAAGGGAACTTCATAAAGTTTAGGGTTATTTAGATATTAGCCCTTCAGATCTTCAATAATTCCATATTAGTCCCTCAAATGTTTGAAATTTCTCATATGTCCCTCAAAACCTTAGGGGTCTTGCAACTTGGTCCTTCAATGACCAAAATACCCCTTAACTTTTTAACGTGCCAGGGTTTTGGGGGAAACATCATTGAGGGACCAAATTGCAAGACCCTTAGGATTAGAGGGGCTTATGAGCAATTTCAAAGATTTGGGGGACTAATATACAATTATTGAAGATTTGAGGGACTAATATCTAAATAACCCGAAACTTTAATAAGTTAGATTGTAGACTAACAACATTTATCAGACTAACTTAATTCTTAACAAATAGGTCTTCTTTATATGACAACAAAGCCTTTATCCCAAGTTTTTAGGATCATCTACATGAATCCTGACCTCCCAAACTTTCCACCTGTTTTTTCCTTTAGAATAAAGTGTATTGGGTTAGAATGGTGCTACTTAGTTAACTTGCATATAACTACTGCCTCTTACTCTTTGGTCTTAGGATTGGTGCAACACTTCATTCTAATGTTTAAAGGCTCAGACTTCCCTAGTCAAGATCCTTTGATTCTTTTCCTTGTAAGTTGTACTACAACTACAAGAAAGCCTTCATCCCAAATTTTTAGGGTTGCTACATGAATCTTATTCGCCCAAAATTTTCTTATGATTATCTTTTCTTCCTTTTGAACTAAACAATGTTGATGAAAACAATAATTGCATAAAAATGATAATGCCTAATGTAATGCTCTACCTCTTGTGTGGTTAAACGCAAAAAATACAAAATAACGTAATGCGTAACACAGGTTACATGTTTTTACTGTCAGTTTAAATATTTAATAGATATAAAATATTCATAATGATTTTAATGAATAGAATCATCACAATTTTAATGAATAGAATCATATCACAAATATAACATCACAATTGTCAAATATGTCATCACAATTTCTTAATAGAAAGACATCATAAATGCGACAAACTCTCAAGTTAAAAAAAAAATCAATCCAAAAGCACATGTATTTCAAGTTTAAAAAAAAAAATCAAAGAACACACTCTCAACTCTTAAGACTTAAGCAGTGTTGAAAAATACGACAATGTTTACTTTAAGGCCTCTTGATAGCTTAAAGTACAATGCATAATGTAATTTATGTATTTTCTTATTATTTAATTTTATGCAAAAGATGTTCATAATAACTTTAAGAATTTTGAAAAAATTTTCAAAAAAAGACACAATATATATATATATATATATAATAATTATATATATATATATATATATATATATAGAGAGAGAGAGAGGAGAGAGAAGAGAGAGAGAGAGAGAGAGAGAGAGAGAGAAATATAGGTATGCTTGATATCAAGCCACAATTTTGTGCTTGGTACCAAGCATACCCATTTTCTCATATATATATATATTATATTATATATATATAAATTATAATATATATATTATATATATATATGATTTAAAATAAGTAATACAGATTTGCTAAGTAATATAAAATAGAGTATTTATTGTATAACATAGAGATTTACATCTTGTTTATAATTTCACATTTATTTATTATTCACATTCATATTTTCATAATCACATAACGATATCCCCAAATTAATCAATAAAGACTTAACAAACAATTCAATAGTAATTGCATAATTACTTCAAGTCTTAAGAAAGGAAATACTCTCAGGTCTCTATAATAATTTATATTGAAAAAATATAAGTTATATCCAAATAACATATTGTAGCTTGTAATAAAATAGAGTTATGACGTATCGGAGTTATTTCAAAAAAATTATGTAATGTTTAAGACCAGTTAGGCTTCATAACACAAAATTACGAGATATTTCTATTTCTTTTCTTTTTTTTTTTTGTGGGGGGGGGGGGGGGGCGAACCCATATCGGACTAGTATGGTGCTTTGTAGTTAATTTACGCGTTAACTACTGTTTGTGACTCTTTTGTCTTAGGGTGGGTGCAACAGTTCATTCTAACGTTTAAAGGCTCACAATTTCTTTGTTAGGTGTCTAATATTCTTTGTTGCCTTCGCAAATACCAGTTTGAGAGAGTACTTTGCATCATTGGCTTGATTGTAATTTATATGTTACCTACTATCTTCATTCCTTGATTATTGAAACACTTGAGGAGAGGTCTAAACAGCCATGCTTCCTTAGTCAAGTCCATGGAGTCAGGTATCTTCTTATTTCTTAGGCATCTGACTTGTTGGTACATTATAACAGGGGAAATACTGTTATTCTACAGACCAATTGCCATCCCAAGTTGATGGTTTGTATTAGATTTGTTGTGGAGATTTAAAGCTTCAGAGCTCTTTATCTTCCATGAATATCAGTTTTCCTTGTAAGCATTTTTTTTATGATGACACTTTCTGGGTAGGGATATACATCAGTTATAACGAGCTGTTATTTCAATCATCTCCAGTCAAGGCTTCTGCATGTATAATTTTTTTAGGTGCTCTGGCTATATCCATGCTACTAAATACCGAGACTACAAAATTTCGTGAATGAGTTCAACATTCCTTCTGATATGTACTCATTTATATCTGACTCTGGTATGCGGTTGTTTAGGCCCCTTATATTTGTAAAACCACATCACATCATTGGATTATAAATTGTAAGAGTTCGGGGAGAGAGCTTAAGGGATCAAGTTTCTCATTATCTTGGATTTTTGACGTCCTCTTAAGAGCTTGGCTATGAGTCTTATGATAACACTTCTTATTTAAGGGTGAAATTACCATTTTTAATTTCAGTTATCGTTTATTTTCATATTATTGCAAGTAGGTAGAATTACAAGGGTCAAAATTTTGGTCAATATATATCCAACACTTCCTCCAACTTGTGAGTAAACCATACCTCATGCCTTTTTGTAAATCTAACCCACACTTTAATTGAATGGTTGCAAGACACTCCTAAGAAATTGGATCTAGTTGAGTCCAGGTCTAGCCTCATTCCGCAACTTAATGGCGAATGGAGATAGCTCTCAACTTAGCATTTCGCACATGAACAGAGTCACACCGGAGGCAACTGAGACAATCTGCACCCAAGGGAGACCTAATCCATTCTGGGCCAAGTTACACCCAGGCCAAATGTAACGTAAAGTGTGCTCCACCTAGTGCTTTAACCCATGCAATATAATATCCAAGCGAATAGAGTATCCAACAAAGGCCCATTGAACCATGGGCTTTGATGTCATGCTATGGCAAAAAAGTTGTCTTAATCTCAGAGAAAAATTGTCAGCATTTACTTATAATAGAGCAAGTGCATAGAAAGTAGGATGCGAATTCATAGAACTTCCCGACTCTATCCTAATTAACTTTCCTAATATATCAATCTTTAATATTATTCTAACTGTAATTAGCAAGAATTCATATCTTGCATTGGAAGAATGGTGCTTACTTGTCCTTGATAAACTTAAGAGTTGGGATTAAAGAAAGCGATAGATTTTGGGAGGAAACTCTGACAGATAAGCAAGCCTGTCTGTATATTTTTAGTGTATTGCCTCTTTTAGGTAAAACAGCTAAACTTGTAAAACACTCCTCTGAAGTTGGAATATATCCATGATCAAGGACTATTTTCGCAGCAAGTTTAACATTGTCAAGAGAGATGTTTGAAGCTCATTCCGTGTAACATAAGTGCTTATAGATCCTAATATGGTTAAATTTTAGGTCCAGTTGATGTTACTAGTTCCAAACGAGAGAGACTTGGTAGAAAGAATGGGTTTTCCAATGTTCATTTTAAGTTCAAACTTCAAACTGTAATGGACATCCTGGAATTTGCATATGGGGTGTTTTTTATGATAATTTTTCATTAATATTCATCACAGTGCTATAAGGTGTTACGGCCACATGAAGGAGAAACTGGAGGACATATATACTCTATATGTTTTCATTTCGGCCTCATGAATATTTGTATTTCGACCATTTCATATATAATCCTGCATGTCAAGGAAGGATGGTAAGATAAACCAGAAGAGGTTACTTGGTGATAATTAATTTAGAAGATAGGATGCCCATGAGCATGAGACAGAGACTAAGTTAAGATCAACTGGTATGTTTGTGCTGTAAGAATGTATGTGGCAATGGGTGTTAAAACCATCTGAAATTATAATTCATGAATTTGTTTTGATAAAAAGACTTTTTATTGTCTTTGGGAAAACAATATATCGATCACTTATTAGGAACTACAGAGAGGCAATAATTATTTTTCATGTATATTTTAATCTGCAATATTCCATTACCTCTTGATTTACTTTTTTTACTGTTGCTTATTGTGCTTATGCTTGTTTCAGGTTGAAGTTGAAAGAATGAAGGCTTACGCACATGACAAGCTCATGAGCAAGTTAGAAGCTATGAGGCACAAGGCTGAGGAGAAACGTGCAGCAGCAGAAGCTAAAAGAAACCAACAAGCTTCAAAAACAGCTGAGCAAGTGGATTATATCAAAAGAACGGGGCGAGTTCCATCCTCATTTTTTTGCTGGAGCTGCTGTTTCTAGTTACTTCCTACAAAAGGCAGCTATCGCTTGGTAGGTCTAATCTTTTAAATTTCTGATTTTTCAGTGACACTGAATGTGAACCCTTTTAGAACATCGGCCTGTACATATTGTATGTATTTCACATTTGTGTATGTTTACTTGTTGAACATCCATGGGAGAATTCTACGTTATACTGACCCTCATTTAATATCTAAGACTTAATATTTTTCGCAGAAATGAAATAAGATGTTACCCTTTTCCATTTGACCATTCTCTCTGATCAGAACTGTTTTATTTGCTGTAACTACTGTAGACATGCAAAGAATAGATGCATTAAGACATCCAAATTCAGGTCATTCTTGATTTTACAGATGACACTTATTCTGGGCTTCCTTAGTTTCTTTTCATGTACTAAAACAAGCTACTTAGCCACTAACTGCAGCATTATTATACTTATGATACTCCGCTTAAGCGTCCTTAGTTTCTTTCTGTGTGCACTTGCAGACAAGCAAAAAAGAAAATCATTATATCATTCTTATAAGAGGCCACATAGGCACTCACCGTGGGTGATCCGAATGGTTGTGAGGTTTCAATATGGCTCTCACGGTATCGGATTCAATTCCGGTTTGGGTTATAAGAACAAATTAAAATAGGGCAACATAAGGAAGGCCTGGTATTCCTTAGACAAACCACATAATATTGTATCATCACACTTGTACGTAATTTATTGACTTTTTCGTCATGTTTTATTCATCTTTTTAGGAAATCTTGATGCTACTTATACTGATGAATAATCTACTTATACTGATGAATAATCTTTTCACTGCTCTAAAGAAAATCTTCTGTCTTTCTCAACCATCCTCTTGCCTTGTGATTAAATAAAGAATCAAATTAGAAAGATACACAACTTACCTACAGCAATGAGTCACTACATCTTGGGCAATGGGATAGACAGGTGTAGCATCAGTTTATTCAAGTGAAGAACAACATATCATAATGGAAAGCAACATATTATATCTAAAGCAACCATTTAATAAACAAATAATTGTTTTAGTGAGAAAATGTTCTAAACTCGAAAGGATGTCATTGGTGTATCACTGAAAAGGAGTTTCTCCAGTTCCATTGCACCTCAGCTGACCTCTTCTAGTATCATGTACTGTACCTTTGGAAAAAAAAAGATTCTTTTACTGCCCATCTTTGCCAAGTAATCTGCACACTTTTTTTACTTGGATGTCTCGTGTAATGTGAAAACCATTTCATCACAGAATAGGCCCCATGAACTTTCTGCTAACCATGTGCTCTACCAAAAGAAAACTGCATCAATTGAAGGCTTCTCTATGATAATCTTGTGGACTTTCTTTAAGGTTACCAACTAAAAGCTAAAGTTTGTTATTAAACTACGATATTCTGTGTACTGCCCCACAGTCATATCTCTGTAATTGAAAATTTATATATGCCACATTTCTTGATTTCAGTCTTCAACATTTATGTAGTATCTTCTTTATGCAAAAATCACTCTTCTTCTTACCATTTCTACCATTTTGTTCTTTTCACTTTTTGCTCCCTCGAAATTTTGCTTCAATGGGGAATTGCTGATGACACTTAATTTGAAATATCCAACTGGATT